AACACATTTGCTTGAGCTCTTTGATGGTGGGCACGCGGTCTTTTCGGTCACCGTACTTCGCAGCTATGAGCAATGCCGAACATCCCACCAGCTGGTAATGCTTCTTGTATACAACTCGGCGAGAACAATATCGGTCAAGTAGGTTGATGGTCAAGAAGAGAGTCTCTGATAGCAGGCCGAACGATGTGTGAGCTTCAATCAAGAAGTCAACGAGGTATGGACGCATGAACCATTTGATCTCTGTCTGGATGTCGATTGAGGCAACATCTGGCAACGTCTTGCCCTGAACATGAGTGTCAGCATGAATGTAACCAATTATCGAGCTTCGAGGCGCTTGACCTCCATCGTTTCCATGTGCTGCAGAACATCGTCTCGATATTCACAGCTTATCAGTTGAGATAGATCCTCGGCAATGGCAAGCTGTGTTTGCCATTTCTGGCGCCTATCGCGTTCCCTCAGCTCTTCTCGGAACCTCTTTTCCTGGTCTTCATGAGACTCCACAAAGTAGCTGTCACATTGATTGCGGTAGTAGGCCATGATGGACGGTTGATGATTGCTTCCTGCAATAGTTCAAAACAATGATATCTTTTCTGGTTCAGACGCTTTAAACACTAACAATAAAAAGGGAGTGACTTGGGTGAGATTATTGATCAAGGATCGTAATTAGTTGGAACGAAGATAAGGAGTGACTTGAGGTTGCCCTGTTTGTCAAGTGGCCAGCAATAGTAGATATAACGGAGTCCTGGGCTCTAGGCTCAAAATGTTAGCCCTTGGAACAGAGCACGAGGGACAGGTTTTACAGGGACAGGGAGCGTCGTCAAATCAAAAGCGAGTACGATGACCAGCCATCGAATCAGAGGGATTGCCTTGTTGCTTACCTAGACGGATTGGGATTAAACCAGGGCTCAAATCCCTTGCAATCTTGTCAAGTATTTCCGCGATTTTCTGGAATGACTTGGGCGGATTGCCTCTACAGAGTCGGTAGAGGACGAGCTAACGTCTCCACTAACGGATTGGGTATGAGGTCGTAATGCCGAGAATGTGGACTTGGGACCCTGGAATTAGTAGTGTCAGCACAAGCTTCTGAGGAACAATTGTAGCTGACATGCCTCGAGTGCGGGGTTAACTCGGAGCCTCTAGAGTAGGCGACGGCAGGGTAAGGAAGAGGGACCCCGTTTCAACGAAAGTTTCAATGCAGTGTCTCTATGATAAAGAGAAAATAGTCAGCAATTTAGTATCATGTGTTGTGATCGCAGGCAAAAATGCAAGAAATCTAACATAATCACGACGCGAGCAAAGGTACGCGTAATGGTCGCGTATTTTGTAAGATTGACTTCATGATGGGAAACAAGCTCTCTATATCTTTTTCGAAGAGTTGTAAAACGATGCTGAGCGATTGGAGAAAATTGGCTGGATTCCAAACGGGGAAATCCGCTAGGACTGAGGGCGAGTATTGACTTGCACCCATGACCACGCGAGGACAGAGAGCTGTGGGAGGGACATCCAGGATGGGATGAAGTGTAGGAGGGATGGGTCTTGAAGACTGGTTGAAGCCTGTAGTAAAGTCGCCGCAGGCTGCATCCAATGATGTCCGGCTTGCGTTCTGACGGTAGCCAATTGTCCGGTTGGAACCAGACCAACACATTCCGCATAAAGTGACCTTGTAGAAGAGGAATGGCGTTTACTGTGACGTCCCCTGACCTCCTTGTACTGGGCCAACGAGGAATGCACGAGGGAAAAAACCATGTACCTTACCATTCACTTCCAACTGACCATATGTACTACTCCGAAGTATTGTGTGACAATCAATTCGTCTGCGGCTGAGTTCCGTAGTGAATTGCGGTACAAGGACGACGGTTGGCGAGCTCGGCAGACGATGCTGGTCTTTGGAGGGAGTGGAGGATAGATGAAGTCGTGACAACCGTGGCCAGGTGACGATGATGAGGACGGATGACAAGAGGAAACGAGGGAAACGAGGAATTGATGACTTGCTGCCGTGGGTGAAAGAGGGTGTCGAGGTTGAAGACGTGAGGACTCTACACCCGCACGGCAGTAGGGAATTGGAGTCGAAAGCCGCCCAGAATTATTTCTGATGCATCTGACGAACTCCACGCCCACTCTGAGCCTCTGTATGACTGGCAGAGGAGAGTCCGAGGGCAATGAGGGGGAGAAGGGGAGGTAGAGGGTGTGGTGAGGTAGAGAAGAAGCACTGCTCTCCACAGGATGAGGAGAGAAGTTTGAAGGCTGGCACAAGTTAAGATTCAAGATTTCGTTGCTTCGGGCTTGAGCTGCAGGGGTACTGCATGGGGCTTAGTGCCCTAGAGCGGCCTGAACGTTTGAGCCTATGAGTGCTTCAGAGTGCCTGGTTACTGATACTGGTTAAGTGGTTATCAACCCTTACAGGTTGGCCTGGCGTCGAATCCCTGAGTCGCGCGTGTCTAGCTAGGTACTTGGTTTAACTCCGTTCCTGTTCCATACGCTCTTTTTCATCTCTGTTATTTCAAGAAGCAGGAGTACCGTGGCTCTGTGGTTTCATCACCAGTCCGCAATCTCGAACACTTTTTCTTCCTGAGTTCTTGTCTCGTAGGGTCTATGGAACCTGTCGATACGCTGAGCTTACGGCTTGTGAAAGGACGCTGCTGATCCAACAGACTACACAGGCGGCGTAATATGCGCGACCTATTGCTACGCTTCCCAGCTCCGATTTCCTACCGATTGATCGTCATTCGCGTTCTCATGGTCAAACGAAAAGCGCCTCTCGATCCATACAAGTCGAGTCCCCCTTCGCTACCAATGGATCTGATGGTACTAGCATCATGCAGCCAACACGCAGCCCTAAAAGATCGAGTCCCTTCCCTGTTTGCATACCTTGCCAGCGCGACATGCACTACCCCTTTTGGTAAGACTGATGATTCTTCATCTCCGCCTTGACGGCATCATGCTTTTGGCGGTGGCCTGAGGTGTCACATTTATTATCTGGAATTCGCCATCCCATGTGGCCTTTGGTTGGAGAGCCGCATGACACTTCAGCCCTTGCTCTACTCCGTATGCAAGGCTATTCTCGCTACTTGAGTACCCTCGGAATCTCTGCTGCTGCAAAGAAAGCTCTTGAGACAAACGTCCCACAAGTCAAATCAGGAATTGAAAGCTGTTCAGACCCTCAGACTATGGTTAATGCCAACGATGAGCTGATTCTCTGCCGTTGATAAGCCACCAACTTCAGATGCGAGAAGCACAAGCCCCATAACGCATCGAGCAATCTGAGACAGCACGTCTGACCAACTCAAATTGCGGGGATCCTATTATTCTCCTGAGCTCCGCAGCTGCATGAAAGGTTCGACTCTTGGAAGGTAACAGGATCCATTACCACTTGTCATTCTGTTGGACTCGTCTGGATCAGAGCTGGGCCAATAATGTACTGGCACCCGAGCTTCTCTGCTCTTAGAGTCCTCGGACTCTGACTATGATGGCGAGCGAGATTTCCAATTTACGCGTGTGGAAATTTCTCTCATTAGACGCGTGCAAAGACGCGCATCTGCGGGGACGAGAACCGAGCACTAAAGCAAGCCCCCAAATCCTTTTTTACAAATAGCAGGGCACATCCCAGCCATGACCATCCCTTCGGATCCATCAGGATGTCTCTAAAAGGTGTGAGTGGGAGGCCTGAATAAGGAACTCGTATCACTTCATCCGACATGCGTGCTAACCTGGCCCCCGTAGGTATGTTTTTCGCTTCAATTGAACCATTCTGGGATATATAAGTACGTCAGTTATAACATGCTTGGCAGCAGTCACAAGCATTGTCTGAGTCAAGACCTGTAGGATGCAGCACAGAAAGGGGACCCCATGAGCATGAAAAGCAACGGTCTCGGAGTCCAACTCTCTGAAACTTTCTGAGCCCCGCCTTCTTGCCTCAGTCTTGGCATCTCACGCGCGAATCGGGTGCTGCATACTCTAGTGCGCATGCAATTGATCGAGATGGCATGCGCTGCACTACTGCGCAACATGCATCCAGGAGTGCAAAACACCCTTGCATCAAAGCTCATACTTTGAATTCATTCGTAGCCTCTACCAGATCTCAAGGCTCTCAACCTTTGCACGCCTGATGTCAATACGCTTCCTGTCAAGGAAGGAGCTTGTCGTGGACACCCCTGATGGACTCTCACAATTAAAAAGGCTTCTCCATGAGGAGGAAGGTAGGTAAATTCTGTTCAGTCCTTACGGATACAATTCTCAAGAAAGCATGACCACCTTGAAAAATATAACGAGAAGAAGCAAGTCCCAAATTGGCTTGTGTTGATGACTCGACCGGAAAGCAGCTGTTGGAACCTTGATAAGGGCTATTCTCGTCGCCCTTACAAAAAGGCTTGATACTCATTGATGTGTCTTGGTGTACATACTTAGCATGAAAGATCGAGAATGTTAGAGTTTCACCCTGCTTTTCTACCACCATAACATTTTCCCGACGAATGCTGTGTCTCCGTCCGTCACCGTCTATTACCGTGACATGCGTTTGCTACTGCACAAGACTTCCAAAAGGATATGCTCTATGGCTACGACGTAGTATGGCTGTTTCAGAGCCTATGCTACTCATTAGTCACTTGATATTCGTTTATTACTACGGATTGCCAATGTGCCCCTTATTCTGTGCATGATGTTATGCCTTGAAAGGATGAACTCGGCAAACACAATTTTCGACTCCAAGGGCATAGGACTGATCCTCCTGTAAAGATATCCGTAAAACAGTGCCTCTTATATATGTATACATTGCCGTAGGGATTTGGGAACGTTATTCCCACGGAACAACCTTTTAGCGAGAAGTCTCCGGGACAATTTTCCCTCCGATTAAAGTTGCCTGGCGATCTGGAAGTTTTCTGCTCCACATCACGACTATTTAGAACCAAACTCTCTAATGTAGACATTTGACTGCTTGCTAGACTTTATGAAAACCATCCCCCCCACTTTGAGGTGGCAGAGTTGATGTTTAACAGTTATCAATTATGGATATTCATCGCTGCCGCTTTGTGCCCTACCCTCCTTCTGCCATAAACGCCCTTGCATTCTCTCATCCTTCCTCCCCAACACATCCAGGCAAAGGACCCCAAAGCCTACGAGTTGCGATTGGCCGAGCCAACGGCGATATCGAGATCTGGAATCCACTTAGAGGCTCGTGGTATCAGGAAAGCATATTTCGAGGGGCAAAAGATCGAAGCATCGAAGGGCTAGTGTGGACGCAAGACCCAGAAGATGTGGACAAGAGCGGCAAGATTATTGCCGGAAAGCTGAGACTTTTCAGCATTGGATATTCGACAGCAGTGACTGAGTGGGAGCTTGGGACAGGGAGACCCGCACGACACTCGGCAGGCAATTATGGGGAGATCTGGTGTATGGCAGCGCAGCCCAAAGGCCACCTGCTCAAAACCCCTGGAAAAGCGGTGGAAGACCAGACAAAAGAGGAGGAATCACAGATACAAGACCTAGCTGTTGGGTGTGCGGACGGTGCTATTGTTTTGCTCGATACAGCGGACGGTGATCTACGATTTAAAAGAATTCTCGCAAGACCACCAAAGAAGAGATCTCGAGTCTTGAGCCTGACTTTTCAAACCCGCCATACCATTATTGCAGGTCACGCAGATAGTACCATACGAATATACAATATGCGCAATGGTCAGCAGGTGAGAAACATGACGCTAGGGCCTGGACCGAAGGGTGGCCCCAAAGAGACTTTGGTCTGGTCCGTGAAATGTCTACTTGATGGCACGATCGTCTCTGGTGACTCCACAGGAACGCTATGCTTCTGGGATGGCAAAAATTATGCATTACTGCAGCGCATCAAAAGCCACGACGCAGACATCTTGGATGTTGCGGTGAGCGCAGACGGTCAATCGGTCTTCAGTGGTGGTATGGACCGAAGGACCACACTGTATAGAAGGACGAGCAGTGGACGCCCAGGAGAAGGTCATCGATGGGCTAAGATTGCACATCAACGGATGCATCAGAATGATGTCAAAGCCATGGCTACGTTCGAAACCAAGGGTCTGAGCATCCTAGTGTCAGGAGGTACGCTATACTTCTCCATTCGCATGCAGTACCAATTCTGACTAAGTCACAGGGCTCGACACAATGCCTATCATCGTACCAATCCAAGAATTCGGGCGAGAACACCATCGCACTCTTGCCAGTCTCCCACAAGAACCCAACGTCCGAAGTGCATCTAAGAAGCGTTTGGTGGTAAATTGGTGGGATCGAGAGGTTAGAATCTGGACAATTTCGAAACGTTCGAAGAAGCAGACGGACGAAGGATCATCTCCAGACGTTAGTGGGCCGCAAGGAAGAAGACTCATTGCCAAAATCGCTCTTCAGGTCAGATTTCCAACCTAACCCTCCTCAGGTGTGAATATTAATATCCAGCGCAGGGCGATGAGTCGATTACATCAGCAGATATATCATCAGATGGGAAGCATCTTGCAGTCGCGACCATGGCAGAACTTAGAGTCTTCCATTTGCGTCTCAGATCTGGTATGCTCAAAGTCCAGAAGCTTGAGCAAACTCAGACCTTCGCGGACTTGAGTAAGCGACAAGCCAAGATGATACAATTTTCGCCGGACACAAGATGGCTAGCAACGATCGGAGCCGACAACAGTATTCAGCTTTACAGGAGATCGGAAATCAATGATGACAAAGTGTCCCCGATTTTCTTGCAAACATCAGTTGAGCTGAAGCGGCTACGTCGCGATACATCGACCACCAAGGCCAATGACGCAAGTCTAGGCAGCTATAACAGATCGATAAACCGCCTTACCTTTTCTGCTGACAGTCGAATCCTGGCAGTCTCAGACATCTCAGGATTCCTCGATACCTGGGTTATCGAAGGCCACGAGGATCTTACACAAGGAAATGACGAGGAACCGAATCCCGCAGATGCCGCAGACAAGTTTGACTCATCCGATGAGGAAGACAGCGGAGAAGAAGACAGTCGTATCATTATTTTCGGTGAACATTGGATTCGAAATCCAGCCGCCTCACTGCTAGCAAAGCTGCCCGCCGCTCCTCTCGTCCTTTCCTTTCGACCGTCGACCACGCAAGCCACTAGGACTTTAACGAACGGCAATATAGGCGTACACCCAACCCGCCATAATCCACACCCACACTCTCACGATATACCGAATGGCGAGGACAGACTATTCATACTTACGGCAGAAAACCAAATCTACGAATTCAACGTCCTATCGGGCAGGATATCAGACTGGTCCCGAAGGAATCCGACATCACGCCTACCCCAAGAATTTCAAGACCTCAGAGACAGAGCAAAGAGCGCTGTGTGGGATGTGAGAGGTCACAATGAGAGGATATGGGTCTATGGTGTTTCGTGGCTGTGGATGTTTGACCTATCAAGAGACTTGCCCCCTGTGGACTCCGAGCAAAAAGACGTAAATGTCACAAATGGAATCAGCAAGGAGATTAGCCTCAAGAGAAAGCGCGGGGACAACGATGAGGATAGAAGAGCAAGTCGTCCCCGGATCGACACTGGCGCAGGCAGCAAGATCCCCAACGCCAAGCTTGGAATAAGCATTGGCCGTAAGATGCGCAAAATCAACGGAACAGATGCGGCGGCAGGTCAATGGATAAGTCTAGAGGCAGAGCAAGATCTCCCTTCTGATGAGGAGGGCGACTACGTTTTAGCCAACGAATCTGACCAGGCCCTAGTCAAGCTTCGAAGAGGCAGTATTAACACAGACAGGTACATGCTCAATGGCCATGTCGACGACTCCACGGATGCAGATACCTCGGAGAACGATGACACCCGCATTGCGAAGATGAGGGATGGCAAACGCCTTGCTTACTGGCACACGTATAAATACCGACCCATTCTCGGCATAGTGCCATTAGGGAGCGAGACAGGTGACGAAGCAGCGGTGGGCGAAGAGGATGACGACTCACCGTCAGGCCTAGAAGTTGCATTAGTAGAGAGGCCATTGTTCGACTGGGACGTACCACCGCCGTACTTGGGGAATCGGGAGTGGGATCCATAGCGACGAATTCCTGCAAAAAGCTATTTACTGATGCTCGAGTACGAATGATGTGCTTGCCATCGGCTCATGTCTCGGTGGCTACTGACATCGGAGTGACCCACTTTACGATCGATCCTGCATTGTGTTGTTCTTGTCGTCTAACGCTTTAATCCGTTGGTCATCATCAACTTTTATTTCCACCTTCGACCTGCCGCAATGCAAGCCTCTTCCCACTCCTTTCCCTCCTTCCCCGCCCTATTGACCTCATTCACCCTTACTTCATCTGTCGAGCCTATTCTCACCTGGAAACATCTTGGTACAGCCACGAGGCATTTCTAGGACCATCTTCTCTGATCTTGATTTCCAGACAGCTCTCATTGTGGGTATATGCCTCGGGATCCCCTATATTGAGCTGGAACACATGGGGATCACAGTCCGCGGTGATGAAACATCAAGGACACTCAATGAGCTAGTTGCCATCCAACATGATCATACAATGCGTGGTCGAACCTCGACAGATCTCTAGGCGGCGGCGGTGGCGAGCTTCCCTGGAGCGAGGACTAAGAGATACTGGGTAACAACTACTGGACCAGGTCATCAGAGGTACAGGACTTTGAGTGGACACGCGTACGGACTTGGTAGGTGTTGGAGGGTGGTCTGGGTTAGGATGATTTAAGATGCAGGGTAGTAGGCGGGATGTTGGTGGATTCATGGTGCGGAAGTGCAATTCTGTGCCTTAGCTCATGACAACAATGACGGTGACTCTACCCTCGGCTCAATAAGCAACGACGCAGCCATAGCCAATCACAGCCTTCTTGAGCCGCACCTTCTCAAACTCGTTGTCATCTTTTCTCTGACTTGTTCCCATCAAGAACAGATTGGGCTCGTTGTTTGATGTCAAGATCACGACAATGTATGCAAGCAAGTCGGAGGTCACGCTGTCTCATGTTACGAGTACCTAATCATCTAGCGTCGACAAATATCACGCAACTTTCTGCTATCATTCGTAATCAAAAGATTCACGAGCAGGTAACACAGGCGATGCATTTGATCGAATGCCTTATGTCCTGCTTCTGCGACCTTCAATGTCCCAAGAACTCATATGCGATAGAGACTTTCTTGCTGAGCAGATCAAAAACAAAGTCAAACCCTACTTGTCTTGTAAAGGTAAAGGTAGCTGGGCATCCTCGGTGCCATAGTGCTTCAACTCGATTGGTACGAGGGTACTAAAATTGATAAAGCCCAGCGTCAACTAGTCACTTGGTACTGTCCTTGGATGCGATGGAGATGACAAGAAGCGTCCAATGTTGAGAACGCGTATGCTTGTCTTCTACGCTAGACCGATATAAGCCCGTACATGCGGGTTCCTCAATTGCGTACTCTAGTTGTCGCCTCTCCGACTTGCGCAGACCCTCTGATTCAGACGAGAGTCGCGACGCCGAGGAACAAGGAAAAAGAAGATATCATGCCATCTGGACCGTTGGCCTTTTCCTACTCTGTGCCGGATCCAGACTCTGGGCGACGGATTGGAATCCAGATTCCAGGACAACAACAAGGCAGCGAGAAAGTTGGAATTGTGACTTTGTTTGAAGAAGGGCCATTGACATTTATTGGCTAAAAAGCTGCCGGACAGCAAAGCCACCCCGACGAGCATGCAGATTCCACAATAAGACCTGTAGGTACTACTGTGAATTCAAGCTCAGAGATAGAGTAGTTGGAAACTTACAAGGTACTTTAGAGTAAAAGCAATAAAGCGCCTTGGCGCCTAATGCCAAGAGCCTCAGCTTACTCATCGTCATAATCGAAGATTTGATTGGGTAGATAGAAGCTTACGCAAGTCAGGATCCACGCGTCCTCTCTTCCCCGTGACGGCAAGGGTCAAATTTCAAAGCGTCAAAGGACTTACCTTACTCACTCTGTCAAGAGTCGTCGTCCTCCTCTCAGAGGCGACCTTCTCCTCTCGTCCATACATCTTACTGAACACCTTTTCACTTCGTCCATCAACTTGTCTACCCAGCGACCTCGTGCTTAATTGAAGGAAAGAGAGAGAGAGAGGGAGAGAAGCGTCGCAAATTTTGTGGCGAGATCGGCCGGCAGTGCAGCTCGACTGCGGCAGGCAGGCAAGGCTCTCAAACAAGCCCTCATTACACATCCAATTCTTCTCCAAAACAACCTCAACTTTCTTCCCCCATACGCATACTTGAGGAAGGGGAACAATATCACCGAGTCACCGAGCTTGAAGCATCATGGGTGACTCGAATGGCCCTCCACGCAGGCTTCCACCACCCCCACCTCCTCCACGAAGATCGCAAAGATCCCAACCACAATCGCAACCGCAACCTCAACCTCAACCACAAAGAGCCTTCAATGCGAAAGATCTAACCCACCAATTCGAACAACTTCTGAGGACACAGCGGTTGAATACTCTCACTGCACAATCGCGATCACGGGCTGGCTCACCAGGACCTGGAAGACAAGCCTCTACATCATCACGACCGCCCTCACAGCATGCGCCCCGACGTCCCTCAGATAGCCCGCATATTCCACCATCGTATCCATCATTACGAAATCTCCCCAAGATGGCCTCGCCACCCCAGGACCCAGCTTCACTGAAGTTCCGCAACCTACTCATCACACTCTCAGTCAACCCTACTAAGTACGAAAACCCAGGCCTGCTGGACGAGGCATTGGCGGTCATACCCTTAGATCGAATCTATAGCGAAGCAGAAGACGAGAGTCAATTGCTGCAAGCTGAAGCAGCCAGCACTGGTCCTAACGCAAAGCCGCAATGGGGGTACCAAGACTGCGTTATCCGAGCTCTTTTAAAGTAAGGTCACTCCATTCCCTCTACCAGTGCACGATCTGACCTGTTCATTTCAGGTGGTTCAAGCGCAGCTTCTTCCAATTCGTCAACAACCCTCCATGTACCGTCTGCGGATCACCTACACTTGCGAATGGGTTCGCCCCTCCCACGCCTGACGAAGCTGCCCGGGGCGCCGCCAAGGTGGAGTCATATCGCTGTTCGAGTACCGACTGCAATGCGCTGGAAAGGTTTCCTCGATATGGTGATGTGTGGGCGCTGCTGCAATCAAGAAGAGGGCGGTGCGGGGAATGGGCCAACTGCTTCAGCATGCTCTGCCGTGCTGTCGGAGGTCGAGTGAGGTGGGTGTGGAATGCTGAAGACCATGTATGGACAGAGGTGTACTCGGAGCAGCAGAGGCGATGGATCCATGTCGATGCTTGCGAGGAAGCTTGGGATAACCCTCGGCTGTACTCAGAAGGTGAGTCGTCTTCCGTTGTGCAATTGGTCGAGCCAAGGCTGATTGCGGTCATCAGGCTGGGGCAAGAAGATGTCTTACTGCATTGCCTTCTCCATCGACGGGGCTACAGACGTGACTCGTCGCTACGTGCGCAACGCCGCAAGTCACGGAGTAGAGCGCAATAGATGTCCCGAGGAAGTCCTCATGTTCATCACCAACGAAATCAAACGGATGCGACGGGAGACCATGCTTAAAGACGAGCGGAAGCGACTCCTCATTGAAGACGAAAGAGAAGAGAGGGAGCTGCGGGGATTTGTCGTACAAGCACTTGCCGCGGAAATCGGCAAGATGTTACCAACGGGTCGAAATGGAGGCGGCGAAGAGATCAAGGTTCCCGAGCAGGCAGCAAGGAGGAGTGGAGCTCAGGCCTGGAGAGAGGCGAGAGGAGAGAATGGTGGGGACGATACTGGACGAGATCGACCACCAAGAGAAGATCACTGAATCTACGGCAACCTCTCCAGCTTTCAGCTCGATATTGAACATGGAGATTACGCCAGTCCATGGATCTGACCGCGCAGGACGTTCCTGTGGGATTCCGTTCCTGCATATGCAACACGAAGCGCACTAGCCACGTGAAATACTCGCTTGGGATTGAAGTACTTCGAGCATGGAGTCGGCGTTACTTGCTGCACAGCGACGGCGTTCTGGATACTTACCATCTGCCACTGCCATTCGGTTTGACTTGCTTTGTATACATGATATCCGTCGGCCCACCGTTCTGCTGCAAGGGGTTTCGGATGTCCGGCATCGACCGGTCCGGCGTTCTTTACGATATCGGGCATGGTAATATGAGGCGTATAATTGCACCAGATTGTTGGGATATTCACAGTGGCTTGATGCCATGAGCACGGATGAGATGTGTATATGGTATTTATTAATGAAACTTCATATTATATTTCCAGACGCTCTTTTCTTTGTCTCAACATGCACCTTGTCCCGTGTACGAGTATCAACCCCATTCAAAGATCAACCCTTCTACAATCTCGTCAGGACCCCTTCCTTCTTTCAGGGACCCAGCGCAAAGACAGCATTTCGCTTAGCCCACCTTACCTGCCGCAAAGCCTCAGCCAGGGCCCCTCCGTCGACAACGCGTAAGCCTCTCTCTCCCCCTAGTCCAAGCCCGAAAACCACAAATCCGGTACCGAGCCTTGCCGAACCCAACCATCTCCTCCGCATCGCGTCCATCACCACGGATCAACAAGTCCCACATTTACGATCCTCGCCTCGCCCCGTCAGCGTTCCCCTCACTCGCCTTACTCAATCGTCGCAGTTGCCTACCGTATCCACTTTCAGCCCAAACCAAAACCACCGACCGACCGACCGAGTGAGTCCTTCCGAATGTCGGAAATGGTTTAATCTTACGGAGACCGGCAAGGACCAGACATAGTCCTCGGTCCCGACACCCCTCCTCACCACCGTCGCTTTCGTCGAACCGTCGCGTGCGTCCGTGTGCCTACGAACGCTGCGCGCCTACGCCTCTGCTAGGGTCGTCTACTGTACCCGGCGTTGGGCTGGATGTGGCGCCTTCCTACTGCTGCTAAAGGGGGAGTTCGAGTGGATTTTAAGATTGGTAGGAGGGTCGGGGTTAGGGGGGTCTTTGTACTGCGATGGGGAGTTGGGAAGTGATGGTTGGGAAGGCTTTTCGTGCAATCTAGTCTCAAGCGTAAGAGATTTGAGGTTGGTGAGGAGCAGGAGTAGGCTTGATGATTTCGGAGTCAGCATTACCCCTTCGGGAGGGATTGACTGAGTCGTGAGACATGTCTCAGGAGCGGAGAACTCTTTAGACAGGTCTGGCGACTCGTACGACAGCATGAACGGGAATCAGAATTCATCACGGACAGCGCAATGATAGGATCTTCACTTCCACCTTTTGATTCCCTCGACAAGAGACTCGACGTCGCCGACAACGGGTTCAACCCTCTTCGCCGCTCGTTCCAAAAGTTTCAAGTCTTCTTCCGCGTAAGGTGTGTGGCGGTAGCGACGCCCCTCCTCCTCAGCTTGTGGATCGAATGCCATGGGTGTGTTGACTGCCTTTTCTTCATTCTCCCAACGGTCACGCCAGCTAGTGATGGCAAACTCCTCCACGTAGAGCGCAACCCGAGGACTTGTCGTGATACCTTTGAGCAAGCCTGCTGCGGATATGTTCGACACTCGGACCCCGTTATCAAAAGTTGAGAACTTGGGCTTCAGCGCGCGACGCTCCGGTAGGAATGGGCTGGACGGAACATGGATTTGCTTTCACGTCAGAGTCAAAGCTCTTGATGTCTTTTGGCTGCAGTACATGGCGCCATATCTCAACAAGAAGCTCGTGTGGAAGACTGGAAAATGTTGCCATCATGATACTAACCGCTCGGCTACTGATAGATAAAGATCGGCTCTGAGGATGTTCGTTGGCATTGACTCGGGCTCATTCATCTATGTTCAAGGAGGGGTATGTGTATTTAGAGAATATGAAAGGAAGTGACAAGTGACAAGGCCTTCAGACTTTGATCACCTCAATTAGCGCGTGTAGCGTCTAATCATAGCCGCCACATCTAAACATCACCGAGAAATTGGGGGAGCGGATGTTGAAAGGAAAGCAAATTACTCTACCTGTTGGTTCTTCTCAAGGATCTTCGTTGTCTGCTCGTGAAGTCTATTGGTATGTCATGTGGTCAACGGTCAACTCTCGCATGAAAGCCTTGCTCCGAGCTAGCCGATTTCCAGGCGATGTTTCTCCTGAGCCTTTCTCGTCAACCGCAACATTCTCACCATCTGTCTCGAGGAGCTTTCAAACCCTCCTCGGTCTCCACAACTCCAAAAAAACACTATCGCACCACCCAATATCAGTCTCGAAAGTATTCTTCTCCCTACGCGTTTCCACGAAGCCAAACCTATTCAGCAATTTAATACTACCCTTGTTCCTCGGATCCACATCCGCAATGACTTTTTGCAACCCCTTTTGCCAGAATATAGGTATGAGCGTCGTCAATACTTCGCTCATGTAACCCTGGCCCCAAGAATCGCGGTGGAGCATGAGTTCAATTTCACCTGTTGCTTCGTCCCAGATTCCTGCTGTGCCTATGACTTTGTCTTTACTGACAGCGGTGGAAAAACGGTCGACAGGCATAGGAGCAGGGAGCACGATGGCGAATTCCATATCTCCGTTTGTAGCCGATGCGATCATGTCGTTGAGGTACGATTTTGTCTGGTCGATGGAGGTATGGGTGGGCCAAGCCCAGTATCGCATTACGTCGCCGCTGCTGAGCATTTCGTGGAAGTCGGCGAGATCACTCTCGCGGGCTTCGCGTAGCTGGAGCCGTAGGGTTTTGATTGTTTCGCTTTCCGTGCTATGGCCCTTGGTGCTTTGGTGCTCGATGCTGTGGTTCGAACGGCGTATTCTAGCCATTGTAGACGCTGACGTTGGTGATATGACGGATGTGGTGATCTACTAGAGTATCAAGGACTCTACGCACCGTGGCGGTCCTTGGAAAAAGTCATGATAGCTCTTTATGATAAGAGCATTTTGAGCACAAATCAAACGTTGACCAACAAAGAGCCCAAGCAGCCAGACAAACAAGAAGCATGGGGACCAGTGAATGCGGCGCAACGGATCGCTATCATGACGACAGCGAACTTTCTGTCAACACAGCCGTAGACTCAACACCACAAATGCGGGCGCTAAGGGAATTTCCAACCTCCTCAATTTCGTAGACACAGCCGTGCCCTCTTCTCCTTTTTCCCCCCCCCCCCCCCTTCCCCAAAAAACCCCCCCCCCCTCACTGCAAAGTATTGTCAGCATTCTTTCACACACTGGAAGATCACTGCACCTACCTGCCTTTGCACAACACACCGAACGTGTACTGCTCCTAGCTCTCGATACTTCCGTCAACTCCTACTCCACTCGATACTTCCTCACCAAGTCTTCCTCTTCCTCACGACATCTACACAACATCGACAGACTTTACATTAAGTCATCGTCGACAACAACCCACAACCGTCTTCCTTTTCCCCATCCTGTCACAAGTTCGTCACAAGACTTACTCTGTCTACCGCCATCCAGCCTTGCCAGACTAACTTCGCAGACTCTCTCATTACACATATCTTCTTTCAACACCTGAACGTGTCTTGCTTGATCCAGCACCGCTCAACATGTATAGCCGAAGCGAGTACCGAAGAATGGCGGAAACGAAAGCCAGGGTTGCAGAACAACTTGCATTAGCCCACGCATCCGCGGAGGCGAGGCGGATCCGAGCGGAGAATCCTGGAAGTGTTAGTCTTGAAGTATGTAGTTGAACCAAATAACCATTACCTGAAATATGCTAACGGTCACAAGATCAACACCACCTCGCCGGCTCTGGACGTCCCTAACACTCCGGCTGTCCCACCCTCCGTCAAATTCGCGAAGGGCCACACGACGGAGAGTATAAATAAAAAAACCAATCAGAGCAAGGTAATCATTTCTTTCACCGATTAAGTCTAACTGTCTCGTCGAATAACATCTGGTAGATGGCTGTCTACAATGACCCTATAGACGGTTCTTCATCGAAGCGTAAAGCCAATGGCCACGACGACGCTCCGGCGCCTAAGAAGGCCAACACTAGTACTTGGGTACCTCGGGCTCCTGGGCAACGTTACCAGGGTACCGCCAGACAGGCACCAGAATCACGCCCAAGCACGATCCTAAAGACCAAGTCGGTGACGCAGCAGAAAGCTCGGAGAAATGACGCAATGGAGCTAGATGTCCATTCAACTTTGGGAAGAAAGAGAGGTGCTGAGAATAACTTGAACGAGAGCGCTACTAAGAAGCAGAAACTGAATGCCCATCCGTCATCGAATGCCCCCCTGTCATCGAATCCCGTGCTTGCACAAAGTTCAAAGGCTGGACAGGCAATGCCAGAAGCACCGTCATCAGCCGAAGCAGCCTCAACTGCGAACTTCTTCGACTCTCTTTACCCCAAGGACTCAAAAGTCAAAGCAAGTGCTGGTGTAAGTACTGTCTGCACCGTGGGTTATCTATGGCTAACTTTTATAAAGCGTGCTGTTCATACGACAGAGATTGTAAGAACCGTAGTCCCACCGACTGCCGTCCAGACGCGACGTGTTGTGCAAACTGCCCCCACTAAGGCAACACCGGCGGTGAAGAAACCAAAATCACCAACACCGCCAAAGTCGCACAAGAAGGATGGGAAAGGTCCCGTTGCGAAGAACACCGCTGTCATCAAGACGTCCCGGAACGAAGAACTAGGGAAGTTGCCCACATCGGGAGCCACACCGCAAAGGGGCATTGGTCCCAAAGAGACAACCGCAAGTCGCAAGGGGATCTCTAGGACGAGAATACAGACGGGGTTCGATTATGAGTCTCCCTCGGCAGAGCAGGTCGCTAAAGCAGCTCCATTGCCCAAGTCTGATGGGGAGCTTATAGAAAACGGGTTGGAGAAGCAGTCCGTCAAGGTCTCCCGTCAGATCCCACCAGTGAGCCACAAGGGCCATAATGCTTCCACAGAGGGGACTGAGAAGTCATTGAAGAGGAAGAAGGACACAACATTCGAGGAGGGCAACACGCACAAGAAGCTTAGGGAAGGTGACGGAAGCGCAACGCATGGCAAAGAACATGCCCGGGGGAAGGCAGAGCCATCCGTCAAGGAGATCGCCGAGCCAGAGTCAACTCCAGTGGCCAAGGTACGAAGAAACCAGACTCAGAAGCTTCAGAGCCATGCACGCAAGGCGGGGAACTCGGTCGATAACTCAAAGACCGAAACAACACATCAAAACTCGGGGAAGAAGTCACCTTCCGCTGGTATTTCCGATCACACATCGTCAGCGAACCGGACACTTGCCAAGGAGGGCAAGAAAACCTCATCGAACAAGGACAAGAACACTGAGTCTCGTAAGGATGCCAAACCCTCTGTTGTTGGGTATGCTAACCCAAATGCCAAGAAAGAAGATTCAGAAGCTAGAGGAGCGGAACCTCGGGGCATATATAACGGAGCAATGGCCTGCTACATCAACTCCGTGTTGCAGGCAATCGCCAACATTCCTAGGATGGCCGACCACTATCGGGGTTTGGCCAACCAAGTAATACCGGAAATAGCGGAGTATGTTGCTCTCAATGCAGCGAACTGGCAGGGCGGTGACAATAAAAATAAATATAAATCAAAGGCGAAGGGGAAACTGAGGGTACTCCTCGAGAGGAACAAGTCGAAGATGTGAGTACAATGTTCCATTGCCACTCTGCCCCTCTAACAGTGTGATTAGTTGCTTGGGCGCTTACCTCGGAGTCCTGCTCAACGAGATGCTGGACCCGGACCCATTGGCAGAGGCACCGTCTTCATACGTGTTTAGGCAGGCATGTGGAGTCCTTTTGGCGAACGACAAAGGCGAGCGATACGATGGAGAAGATCAACAAGAATGTATGGAGTACTTCGAGAAGCTCCTTGATCATCTCGACATCGAAGAAGTGGACGGGCGAACCGAAAACTTCGAGGCCCCCTCTCTGGTACAAGAGCTCTTCGGCCTCGAGGCCATCACAAAGGTAAGTAAATATTCTCGCTTTGTTCAACGGCTGCGCTAACTTTGAGCAAGATCCAGTGCCGGTCCTGTGGCCATGCTTGGGACTCCTGTGTTGAGAAGAAGTTTGCCTTCACCACAAGTATGCCTAGCACCAAAAACTTGCCTGATCGCGAAAGCAGGGTATGCATCACAGAATGCCTGGATGCGTACTCTATTCCAGACAGTGTCGACGTTCACTGCAATGGCTGTGGTGAAACAAGCAGAGCCTCGAAGTGGATGCAGCTCAAAGATTTGAGCCCTTACGTCTTGGTCAACCTCAATCGTGTAGTGGTCCATGGAAGTGAGAACCAGATGGAGGCCACCTTCACGCGGAATCCGGACACCGTCAGTCTACCACTTTCGGAGGGTGTGACGATGAAGGATGGGGTAGAAGACGTTCAGTACGAGGCCATCGGTACCATCAAACACAGGGGCATAGAGTGAGCCCAGCCTACCCTTGTTTCCTGAAGTAGGCTGACGAATATCTAGCTTCTCCGGTGGCCATTGGACATCTTGGATGAAGATTGATGGTCAATGGTGGTGTTTTGACGATGACCACGTCGCCAAAAAGGAATCCAAACGTGGACATCCGGTCACCTGCATGGTCGTCCTGAAGAGGTCTGCATGATCTTTGAGCTGTCTGCTGGATAACCAAGCAACCTTTCGATGTGTCATGATTGCGCCTCCATTCTTCTATCTCGTCTTCACTTCATTGTCATGGCTTTTTCCCAATTCCAAGATCTCTTCTCTTGACCTCAGCTCGATTTTAGGCTCCTCGGTGAGCTTGTACGGCGGACGACGGCTGACACTACGACAATTATGAATTGCAAATTAAATAAGAATGCTTGGCAAAGCTGATTCAGCTCCGCCTCCGACTTTTTGTTAGCGCCATTCATAGAAAATTGTAGAGAACGTACTTGCCACTCTTGTACCAGCTCACTCCATATTTTTGGAGAGCGTTATAGAGAAGATGGAGGATTTTGATTGATATTACGTAGTATTTCATTATAACTACTCTGTTATCTCCATAATCAAATACTTCAAATCTCGTTTAAATGTTTTAATTTCGCCGTCAAATATGTAGCCTACAGTGCTCTGCTTAAAATACTCTATCGCAAATCTATCACAGCCACTAACATCGATTGCATGCTTCAGAAATCCTTCAAAATCGTTCTGAAAGACGTGTCGAAAGGTCTCAAAATGACGCCGTATCCACGTCTTAAGGCAGGTGAGAGGCTGCGGCATCGCCCTTATGTATAAATATACCTATTACGAGAGATTACGGTGTCACCATAGATAGCAAGGTTCCGCTCCCATCGATACGCCGTCGATACACTAAAATAGATATCCGCAACTACGACTTCAGGTCGCTAATAGAATTCGAGCAAGAGTTGGGCACGCTGGCGTACAGAGGGATCCTTTCTAAATGATAACATCGCGTCCGGAGTAAGGGCTGGCGATATGGCTATTACACGCCTAAGTCAGAGGCAAAATATAAGGAAAAGCGTATATACCCACTAGCTTCGATATCACGAATATCCAACTAAAATAGCAGACGACAGTGGCTATTGCAAGAGTGACAAGTACGTTCTCTACAATTTTCTATGAATGACGCTAACAAAAAGTCGGAGGCGGAGCTGAATCAGCTTTGCCAAGCATTCTTATTTAATTTGCAATTCATAAAAAACCAAAAAAGAATTCTCTTTTCGTTTTTTTCTTCGCGATTTCTAGTAACTCTCTTCAAAATATTCTTTTTAGAATATTCTCAACTCTTCGAGAGGTACTTTTTGAGGCATTCTTTAGGGGCTACTCTCCGGGTTACTCTCCGGGGTACTCTCCGGGGTATTCTTCCGGGTATTCTTCGAGGTACTCTCCGGGGTACTCTCCGGGGTACTCTCCCGGGTACTCTTCCGGGTACTTACGACGGATATTTTATGAAGTTCTTCGCAAAAAAAAAAAAAAAAAAAAAAATTTAAATTTACGGGACTTTCCGCGGAACTTCCCGCGAATTCTTTTTTCGCACTTCGAATATTTTCTCGAGTGATTTCTCGAGTAAATCTTTAAGAAACCCCTCGAGTAACCCTCTAAGTGCTCTCTAAAATACTCTTCTCGAGTATCTCCGAAAGTATACCCTCGAATAATCTCTTTAATCCCCCTTATATACTCTATAAAAAATCCTCTAAAATATTTCTTTAAAATAATTCTTTAATAGGGAGTTTCAGGCCACTTTTTTTCCGCGTGGTACTTTCAGGTTTTCAGACTTTCAGTGATTTGCATAATGGCTAATAGTGGTGTTAAGTAGAATACTCTATGACTATATGCGGAGAAAACTACGGAGCATTCTCGGAAGCTAGGGCTAGGGCTATATGTGGCAAATCTATCATAAAACCACAGAAATGGCCTTATTTTTTATATGTGGGGTCTTCAGGTGTTCAGGCCTCCTGAAAAAACCACTGCTGAAAGTCTGAAAACCTGAAAAAACCACAGCAAAAAAAAAGTGGCCTGAAACTCCCTAATAAATCTCTTCAAATATTTTCTCAAAGTCGCGGGAAGAAAAAAAAAATTAAAGAAAAAAATTGGTTTTGGTTTTGTCGTAGTGTCAGCCCTCGTCCGCCGTAGCTTGGCTCTTGGCTAGAGGCACGTGCCCAGGTGCGCTTTCCGCGCTAAATTCGACCCCCACCTTCGTTCGCGTCAATCAACAATTAACACCACTTCGTCTTTCACATCGACCATGACCCATTAGCCATGGATCCTATTCTCCAAGGACTCAATGAACCACAACAAGATGCAGTTACCTCGCCATCTAATGTCTTACAAATCCTGGCTCCGCCGGGAAGCGGCAAAACAAAGACACTCACATCACGGGTGGCTTACCTCCTTCAACACCACCGATACAAACCATGGGACATCATTTGTCTCACATTCACTGTGAAGAGTTCGCGAGAAATGAAGGAGAGAATCGCCAAACTTCTTGGTAGTGACACCGCGAAGCGATTAGTCCTGGGTACATTCCACTCGGTATGCCGCCGATATCTTGTCACCTACGGCCATCTCATTGGCCTTCACAAGGGATTCGGCATTGCCGATAGCTCGGACAGCACAGCCATCATCAAGAGGATCATCAAACGCTTAGGGCTCAAGATTGATGCTAAGAAGGCCCAGTCACGAATCTCGAGCTGCAAATCCAAGGGTCTACATGGACCAGACCAGCAAGTTGGAAAGCAGAAAGGGGAACTGGCCCAACAGCTGCCACAGAAGAAGAATGTGGAACAGCAGGAGTTTTCAATTGTATTCGAGGAATATCAGAGTCAACTGGCCAAATCCAATCTACTTGATTACGATGATCTCTTGTTGAGCTGCGTTGACCTCCTCCGCCAAAATCCTACATGCGTTTCGAATGTAGAGGTGGTGTTGATCGACGAATTTCAAGATACAAATGTGGTTCAATTCGACTTGATGAGGCTGTTTGCTGCAAAGAACAAGAGGGTCACTACAGTCGGTGATCCAGATCAGAGCATATATGGATGGAGGTCTGCAGAGATCAAGAACCTGGAAAGAATGCAACAGCAATACCCTGGTATGATTACCATCCACCTCAAAGACAACTATAGATCTTCAGGCGCGGTACTTTTGGCAGCGGACGAAGTAATACAGCAAGACACGTCGCGACCTGCCAAATCTCTACTGCCCACGCACTGCCCCGGCACTATGCCCGTGCTGCGAAGACTACCAACCGCTGAGATTGAGGCTTTGTGGATCGTCTTCGAATTACAAAGGATGGCTGGACTGACTGGTCGTCTTCTCGCATACTCGGACTTCGCTGTACTTCTTCGCACTGCTTCATTATCACGCCAGGTCGAATCAGCCATGGGCAGAGCTGGAATACCCTATCGTATGGTAGGAGGCAAGAAGTTCTTCGATCGTCTAGAAGTCAAGATTCTCCTCGACTACTTAAGGGTGGTCAGTCAGCCGAACAACAACGATGCCATTTCTCGCATCATCAACACACCTGCACGTGGCTTAGGTGCAACGACCGTGAAAGCGCTGCTAGAAGAGGCGGAGACCCGAAAATTGGCCCTTTGGACACTGCTTCGAAATTCTACACAAAACACTACCAGGACAAACTTGTCTAAAGCAGCGAAGCAAGGACTGGGCTCCTTTGTCAACCTCATCCTGACCTCCAGAAACAAGATCTTGGATACGAGTAATCCTGACTCGCCTAAGACCATTTTGGGGTACATAATCGAGAAGCTCGACTTCCAAAATTACCTGCAAAAGAGCCATCCGGATGATTCTGAAGCTCGTTGGGCGAATGTCGAAGAGCTTACTGCGCAAGCATCCGAATTTACGGTCTGCGATGCAAACGAGTGGAAAGAAGACGATGACCTCCCCAACATTGAAGGCTTGGAACAACAGCGAGGTAATGCAGCAGAAGAAGCATTGGCCAAGTTTCTAGCCAACGTTGCGCTCGCATCGGAGCTTCAGAAAGAGGAGGAAGACACGGAAGGGAAAGGAGCACTGCAGTCACAGGTCACCATCTCCACTATACACGCTGCGAAAGGCCTAGAGTGGCCCGTGGTCTTCGTGCCATCCGCGTACGAGGGTTGCATACCGCATTCAAGAGCAGAAGATACGGACGAGGAACGGAGGCTATTGTACGTTGCAATGACCCGAGCCCAAGCTTTGCTCTACATCAGCTGTCCAATGAAGAACTCTCAAAGGGAAGAAACGGCCATGTCACCGTTCCTTTCAACCAAGCCGGTGACCAATCTCCTGGTTAGCCAGGGCCCAACAATAAACAGCAGCACTGTCAATGACATTGCGCGAATACTAAGAAGGGACAGTCCAACTCAAGCCCAAATCTCTGAGGCTTGTGAGACACTAAAAAGCGTGCACGATAATCTATGGCCTCTCACTGGGGAAGAAGAGGTCAAGGCGACCGGCGCTAGACGGAGCAAATGGGACTCCAACGAATCCTCCGAGCATCCATACAAGCGAAGGAGGATGCAGGACAGCGAACGCAGTGTTGTTGAAGGGATGACAGCCTGCGCGAACCCACCTGTGGCGGGACATATTGGCAGTACAACCACAATGCAGAGTAGCTCAACCTTTTCTTATAACACGGGCTTCATCTCAGCAGCGACGCAATTACAACATGTCGACGAACATAAGAAGATGGACACTATGCCAAATCGAGGTGCAAAGCCATCGAAAGTACGCAAGGAAGAAGCGAAATTGAACAGCAAATCTAGCTTCGCACAAGGGGGAGGTCAAGGCAATCTGATGAGCTTCTTTGGAATGAAGGCGGGAAAGCACGGGAGAAGCACACCATCCGATCAACTCGCGGAAGGAACACTGGGAAACTTAGTTGCAGGCCGCAATCATACTTCTGGTAACGTGACAGTCACAGGTCCCACAGCCACTACGAATCAGGTCTTGGTCGGCCGTTTGGGCCCAACGTCAAGGACACCCAACTTACCGTTACCTGAAGCATTAGCAACTCACCGACTGCAACCCCTCTCGAATACAAATCGACCGCGCCCTCTCATCCACGAAGAAGAGCCTCTAAGGAAGAAACCCTATGTCTTCCTGTCTAGCTCACCACCGCACATTGAAGAGCTCGTGGAAGCAGCAGAAAATCAATGTGAACACCAATCGCCCCCCAAAATGATAAGCAGGGTGGAAGACAGCGAGGTAGCACCCCGGCACACCGATATTGTGCCCTCCAGGACGTTTCACACCACGAGCATTGCGCGACTACAGACAGAGGTGGCGCCAAGAAAGACTCTAGGAGTACGCAGAAGCATGAATGGATGGTCGGCAGGCGGGAGTCATGGCTTCTCAGTACCAAAGATGAATGGATCGAAGCGCTAGGGTGATTGCTGTCATGGATCGAGAGTTTACATGACGAGGAGCAAGAGGAGGAACAACAGGATGTCAGGAGCGGAGAAGTACGCGACTGATCTTGCAGCCGAGGAGGATTGCTGCACCTTCAAAACAGCAAGATGTCAAGACTGGAGGAGAACGCCCCTGGTTTTGGAAACAAAAAGCATTGTTGTACCATCAAAGCCGCATGCAGGAGGTTTTGCACTGCAAAAGGCTTCTCGAAGTATCGGTTCCTGGCGTAATGGAAAGAGGTCAATTGAGGTTGGGCTGTGCAAAAAGATCTAGGATTGGGGGAAGATATCTTAGGTTTTGAAATAAGGAGAATCTTGTACTAGTACGTCAGAAGCCGAACGCAGACACTCCACTATTCGATTTCAGTCCCTGATGAAAGAAGTCTCGGGGAGAAAAGAGGGTAAATGGAACAAGGAGTAAATGGGTACAGAGAAGGGAAAGGAAAAAGGGAGAAAAGAGAAAGGGGACGAGCAAGGGGAAGGGGAAAGGAAAGAAAAAGGAAAAGGAAAAGGGAAAGGAAAAGGGAACAGTGGCTGGTGGAAATTGGGACAGGCCAGCAAAGATGCATTCAGTGTACGCAGACGGCGGCTTGGATAGGCATTGTAAAGCGAGAAGCATTCAGCGCGTTCGGTTGGATCGCAGGGTTTCCCGGTTGAAGCATTGCATTCGAAGGAGTTTACGATACCCATTGCTGCGAGATTCACGGGCTTCAGCACGCGCGCAGATGAGGCGGCGACCTCCGGTATTATTTCGAAATTAGTCTTTACAGTTTTGTTGCTGGAGATTCGGGCTTTGGCTCGGAGTCGTTGGATTGCTTGAAGTGCTTGTGTCATACATAGAACAACGAGAGCATTTGAATCTCCCTTATTCCATCATCTCCTCCCAGTCCTACCCGTCCTTCTCGTCTCATTGGTTCTCTTCCTCTTGCTCTTCATCATCATCGCCGTTCTCATTCCCCGTATCAGAATCATCTTCCTTCTCATCCTCACCATCCGCGCCAGACGAAGCCGACAGTGTCTGGTGGTGTCATTTGCAGGTTGACCGGCGACGAAAAGCGCAGTTTCCTTTCAAAGGCGCCCCAGACGTGCTTTGATGTCGAAAAGAAGGCGAATTTGGGCGTTAAGCAATCCCAGTCTGTCGTTCGAGACGTCCGTCGCGGCGATGTGGAAGGCCCCTGATAGATCGCTGATGTCTAGGCGCTTTGAAACCTGTGGCGGGGACGTTATGAGCATGGAGATTTCTCTAGGTACGAGTACTCTACCGAGCAACGATACCCCGGGAGTCGTACCTTGATCGACTTGGATTCCTCTTTGGTAATGAGCTTGGACGTCGGCTAGCAAGTCGTCCTCATCCGTCCCTCTGGCGCTTCGTTCTTTCTTACGCTTTTGTCCCCTCTCGAAGCGGTTCCTGCTTCTGATGCTTCTTCTCTGCAGCCGTTCAGCTGCTAGATCTCTTTCGAACTTTAGGATGGTCTCTGGCACCGTCAAGCCTGCCACCCATTGCAGAGCTGCCAATAACGCTTTCTTCGTGGCTGCTTGTTTGGACTTCAGGGGTTGCAAGCCATGGAGGAGTAACTGCGCTATGTATAATATAAAAGTGGCCGGTCTCGTCCTTGTGGAGCGATTGTTGATGGGCTTTTGGCTTCCCTGCTTTCGTGAGTGCGGGCCTAGGGTCTTTGAGGTTCAAGAGGTTGTGAATCCTGTTGCTGTTGCTGCGTGAGTGTCTGTTGCGGTCGGTTACGACGTCAAGGCCACTTGTTGGGGAGTAGAAGGATGGAGGCGAAGAGACTGGAGGGGCGAATGCTAGGGACAGGATTGGATGTTTGGGCATGAAATGGCTTGGGACAAACAGGTATTCTAGTCAACGGATAAAGTGAATCGACGCGAGTATTTTGTGTAGTAACGTAAGGTCTTGCAACACTTGGATGGAGCTTTAGCAGTGGTGGACAATGAAGAGATTTTTGGAGTGAGGACTTGTAATTTCTGACTCGATGGGCCTTGCTGACTTTAGATAGCCCTCCGTGCAACATAAACTGGAGAAAGCCGCCAGATTGATTCCACCCTTCCTGCTTGTTGTCGTTGTAAGATCTTACAAGATCCTTTGAAATGGCCTGATCGAGTTGACTTTAACGGAGAACCATACATGAAAGCGTTGTTGTTACTGCGTTGAGCACTCATTCAAGAACAAGACTTCGAATGAGGAAGCAAGATTACAATTCTATGCATCCCCTAGTTTTGATGCATGCATGCTGGTTGGAATACATGTCAATCAACCGACCTCGTAGCACACGGAGAAGGTCAAGCATGATGATTGGCCATTGATGCAGCAATTGGCCTTCTCGCGTAGTACCACCCTCCTTTACCGGCACGAGAAGTCAGTGCCGATCTATGTAGCCTCTTCCACACGAAGTATCATCTCGATCTCGCACCCATTCGCCAGGAACTAACTCCTTTTTTGTTACCAAGCTCTTCGTAAAGCCTCCCAGAAGATAACCATATCCTCTGGTTTGTCTTCCTCAAGAGCTGCGCTTCATTGTTCCAAAGAAGCCTAGCTTCTATTGTAGGCGCATTTTCGGCTGGCTGACCTCGACTTTTGCAATAGTCGAGCAGTGACTCGAAGAGGTCTGAGATAGTCCAACCCGCCTTAAGACAGACGTAAATTGAGACATAATCTGATCGGTTGTTTGCAGAAACAACCAATAAAGTCTGAATAGGAACTTGCGAGCTCGTTGGCGCTCTATCCATCGACCCGTGCCCATCATACGAAGACTTCGCGCTTTCCCTCAGCGGATTTGGATCTGCCGATGCACGTGATTGATTTGGTGTAGTCTTGACGCGATTGGCACATGGGATATCATTCAGGTGTAGACGCCGTGCCTCTTTTTGCTCAGCGGTAGTGGTTCCTGGATAATTGTTGGCATTGAATCCATCGAGCCAGTCAATTTCCAGTCCCTCTTCCGAGACATGCGCGAGTTTATGGTCGCGAAATACTTGCTGGAACGAAGGGCCCCTAGGCGGCGTTGACAGCCAGACGTCTGTCCAGTCAGAACGACGCTGGCCTACATGTAGAAAGCCAGGGTGATCCGGATGGAATCTTCTGGCTGGAGTATGACCACTCGGCGGCACCACAGAACCTGAGGCTTGTGGTGTTTGGTTGCTGGGAAGGTGAGATGAGGAGTCTAAGTCCTCATGAGATTCGCTCGAGGTAGCCTCGGTCTGGTGCCTCGCAGTGTTCATAGCATCTGTCGCGGATGTTAGATTCCGGCAAGAACAAACACCTCCCTTCGCAGACTTACGTCCTGCAGGGAGTGTATGCCTCTTGGCGGTAACACTCGGAGATGGAGTCATGATCCTGCGTCTTGTGTTATTACCTGCTGAAAATGAGATCAAGGAAGCGTGGATGTGATTTATGAAGATTGGTGCAATGATATTCCTGCTAGGTGCGGCACGCTTGCTTGATTTGTCGCACCTCTCCCTTCCTCTCATGAATACTCGTTCCCAAATATAGGGAAAAATGCCCTTCTAGATAGGTTGGATAGAGACTCAGTCCAATGTGTAAGTGCTGTAGAGTATCAAGGAGAATGTCGGAACTTGCTGGAATGTCTTGCTTGGTTGTGACTCCGAGCATCTTGTGGCCATTTTCGCCGCGTGATTCGGCCCTAACACGGTTCTTGCTCCTACCACCTCTTTCACGCAAATATCTATACCTTTTGCACATTCACCTACCCAACGTCCCTAAAATCTTACCCCAGTCGTTTTCCTCCATCCAACCAATGATGGTATCTTCTAGCACAGCATTCAGCTCCGGACAGCATGCACTTCCAGATCTTGGCGATCTCCACCACTTTGTCATGGGTGTGGCCGCCAACCACGTCGACATACCAAAGATTCCTTCCGCGTTCATCGGCCCTGCTCGTCCTACCTCTACATATCTTGGCGAGGAGACCGTCCTAGCTGGTCCATCGAGCGAGACCGCCGTTCCGATTATGTTCCGCTGTGTATGGGGGCCCGGCAACCACTCTCGCCACGTGCTCGTCAGAATGAAGCCTTCCGTATCAGAACAGGCTCTCGGACTCCGCTTGTGCCAACGTTTAAACATCCCGACTACAGGAGCCGTGACTATAGAGCCGGTGATCAAGTGGATACCGGGATTGATGCCTTATACAAGTGGTATAGACAAAGGCAAGCCTCTCTCGAACAATCCGCTCGTGACCGTACCTCGCGCTAACTGGCTTTTAGTCTTACTTTTTGCAGAGGTGGTACAGGCGCTCGGCTCCAGTCTGAGCGGCATTGTTGACCTCGACCTCCTCATCTGCGACAGGTAATTCGACCATTGCACCTTGTGCGATAACAGAGCCGTCCTTGACTCGGCGGTTATGAGGAATGCTCGGACGTGGGGCATTGGTGAGGGCAGGTTGTGTGAGAGATGCGCTGTGCGCGCAGATATTCCAGGAAGCTTTTCCTAGACGGATTTAGGGAACGGATACATACGTGTCACGCCACCAGGATACTAGCATTGGTCCCCTCGCTGATAGGTAAGCTGATGGTACTGGGATAAGTGACATTCCGTTAACAGGATTTCGGCCAGAGATCTCTCCTTTCGACCCTCGCCGGCAGGACTAGCTGTCTAGATAGACCGCTAGGAAGGACATCAAGCGGGGTTCCGATGCCAATGCATGGGTTCCGCAGCAACAGAAGCATCAAGGCTAAGTAAAGGAACAGGAAGAGATAAGGCATGATAGAAACCAGCATACATTGAAGCATGACCACAAGATCACTGTATTTGAGACACAACTTTCAGACTAAGCGTTAAAGCAACGTGTACCACTCTTACCCCTCGGCAGGGCCAGAGTACAGGGCTCCCATAGCTTATATAGCCCATATCCCTCAGGGCCGCTTTTCAAGACTTGAAATGCACATCAGTAAATTTCTTCTCGCAGTCGTAAGTGCTGAAGTATTCTTTGTCAATCAGTGTACAGTCTGTTAATAATATTGGGCCCGGAGGTAGTTCTTGCCTCAGTCCCTCAGACGTGCCAAGATCGCTAAGCCCCTTTGGATTACTAGTATATACCCGGTAATGCCCGCTACTTGATAATGCACGGTCTTAAATCCGATAAATCTGGGGGTGAGGGGATATTCTCCCGGAAACTCACCCAATTATCAATATAACTCCAACTTAAAAGATTCTTGAAACCCTAGAGATCTTATTCTACATTCTATAGTTTGGATTCTCAATATTTTTATTTTACTGTTGTGAAAGAACGAATTACTGAAGTCTCGGATTTTAGGTGTCACCCGAAGGCTGCGAAGTCAGCGGACTAACCTAAAGGGGCTTAGCGATCTTGGCACGTCTGACAATATCACATTTCTACACCTCTAAATCGAAGGAACAACAATTGGTCTCTATGATCAGGTGTGGAGAAAGAAAGTCCCTCATTCCAATGACGAGAGCACTATCTGAAGCTCTTGAGACTAGCATTCTGCTACTTGCTGACCATATTGAAGTCCAATTGAGAGTGCAGCCCCAACTTATCTTCGGACAGTCCCCCTCCGACAGTCCCCCGTCAAACTAAAAAAGCCTCCCGCGCACGATCTACACGTTAAGCTTTCGGCCCCATCTAATTTTGGTGAGGGGTTACGCCAGCCCTGTGCATCCGATTATAAGAGACTTCAAGTTCAGATGAATTCCTCCCACTTTATTAATTTTGAAGTGATTCTTTAGAGCGATGATGTGATGCTTAGAGTACGTTATAAATAGGTCGGAGGCAGTGCAATAGTAGTAGAATAAGGGCCTATATTGTATGTGACCATTGCTAAGCCGTAATATTAGCCGTATATATCAAAATTCGCTAATACATGTAAGAGTGTTGGTGTACTATTTATTATTATCTTTCTAAAAAATCACTATAATTAGACCGCTAGCATCGGTAAGAAGATCGGTGTCGACAGGCCTTATAAGTAGGTGAATGCCCACCTTTCTCCCATACCCCCGTATCCTATTCAAACCCAACTTCTATTTCGCCTATCCGCATATTATAAATATTATCGAGTATACTACGACGGTTGCAGACAAGAAGAGGCGTGTTTTCGCTACCTTCCCAGCTATCTACAAGCGTGCCTCTATCAGTGGCGAGGTCTTTTCTAGTAAGGATGCTGTAATCCTACGTCTTAAGGACTGGTCTTGTATGTAAGGATTTGCTGCAGTGACTAGTTATAGCGTTAGAACTTATAGCCTTTCTAAAATTATAATAAAAGTCATCGCTAAAAATCTACACTATAAGATATCCCTCACTCGTTAAGATATAACGTTCTATTTAAATATTTATACCGTGGAATGAAAGAAATATCGACAATGCACCCACCAGTCAGATATCCACTATGCCAAGGCCTATGCCAAGCCGGGTGGCTGCGGGTATAGCCGATAGCCACATTAGTGTGGACGGGGGACTGTCGGAGGGGGACTGTCCGAAGATAAGTTGGTGCAGCCCCTCCCGCTGTTTCTGTCTATGTACATGATCAAGCATCAAGTACATCCAGAAACACCATTGAACTTCAAAGTACCCTAATTCGTCGTAACAATGGCGAAAGTGGCATCATGGTGCCAGTCGGGAGTTGCTATACTGTGATGCCCCATGTCATGAGATTAGTCCTGAAAGTCATCATCCGTCGACTTCATTTCTAGTCCTTGGTAGCACAGATCAAATGACCATGCGGGAATCCTAACTCCAAGTTACATTATGAGAAAATTCTACCCGTGGGAAGTGGACGCCGATGAAAACTTGAATGAATTAGGTACAAATGAGCCCTGCACAAAAACCGGCCTGATCAGGCCAACGGCAAATGTAGAGGAGAATGCTCGACTCGAGATGAGAAGGAATGAGTACGACGTCGTCACAGACCCGCAAGATGCCCGCTAAACCTACGAAAGAAAACCTTCAAACAGCAACATGAGCGCCTCTCCACAAGCATTCCATCAATATTACGAAAATGTGTCCTTTCGTCTCTTGCAGCGCGTATCGGAACTGTGGAACCCTAAAACAGCTTGCGTTGATTGTCTTCTACACAAACATCCAGGCGCCAATCCTATTTTGTCAACACTAGAAGGCGCTGAAAGCTTGACGAGTGTCTCTGCTGGGCTGCCAACGGTAAAGCAATGACTTCCGACGGAAAGTCTATGTGTCGTTCGGGAAGCCTCTTCTCCATCCGTATCGGACTTCTGCTTCTTGTTTCGGACTCTGCGGACTAAGATGTGGCCGTCGTCGCTCTCCTCATTTGAGCTCGATGAATTTGGGAATGATATGGCGCTGACAACCGGAGGGTTGACGCCCACGCTCCCTGTTGCTGCAAGCTCCAGCGCCTGCGGTGAGTCCCGACCTGACGAAGATGGCGTCAGCAGCTCGGAACTCTTCCCAGCTAACCACGATTCAGCAGTGGCCAGATCCAACGCAGCTTGGTGCCGTTTCATATGCGTGTCCACCATAGTATACTATTGCAAGGTCTTCAGGACTATCGTACTCGTAGCAAAAATCGGCCACTGTTTCATGCTCGCGCGACGAGATCGTTGCAAACCAGCCTGAAAGCTTCCAACAGCACGGGCAGCCGCTGATCGTTTCATACCCCCCCACCGCACTCGATTTACACCAAGGGTGGACCTCTCAAAAATTTGATTCAAATGGCGGCCGAGAATCTCAATGTCTGTAGATGGAGGTTTTTTGGCGAAATCAGAATGCAAAGTCACGGTGTGGCGTTTGAGAGCATCTAGATTGGAAGTTTCTTCCGATGATATAGCGGTTCGTGAGCCATCTTCTTGATTTCTGTGGAGTGGATGAAGCATGATGCGACCAGCTTGGGCATCGTCTCTTCGATCGGAGAGCACGGGAATCTGATCACTAGGGAAGTTGGGCGCATGGGACTTAATCTTTCTGAGGAGTTCCACCGTTGTGGACATGCCTTTCTCCTCGACCAAAGCTTCTAGTGCGTATATAAGGGCTGACGTAAATGAGTCTTCACCAGGAACTTGTGTCGTGGCCATCTCTTTGGTCGCTGCCAGGTATTCGAACAATCTAGATCTTATCAGCCGGAAGTTATACTCGTGAAAGCTTGGCTAATCCGACTGACCTGGGTTGCCCTCTGGTGAGACCCAAGTTCCCTGCGTAGCAGCTTCGATGAAATGTCAGCAGCGTCCCCTCCACGAGCAAGAGGAGATTACCAGTCAAAGATCTCTAAGACGTCTGCGTCAGCATCGTCCAAAAGCTGCTCGGTCTTATTCCACACGAGCAAGTCTAAGCGCTGCCGTTGATCATTCTCCGAAGTTTGCCTGGGGCTATTAGCAACCAAGCAGTAGGATAGCTAGGTTGAACTTACCCGTGTAATACCAGACTGCCATAGTAGCTGCCAGGTTTACCATGACCGGCATAGTATACTATGAGCAAGGTGGTTGGTCCATCGTGAGCGCCGATGAAAGCAGCTACTATGGTGTTGACCTGCACCTGCGGTTTCCGCTCGATATATGTCTATAGTATAGAGCTAGAGTGAAATAATAGCTAGCTATATATAGGTATGGGTGGGTAGAATAAAAAATATATAATAGTTCTGAAAGAGACAAAATCGAATGAAGAGCTATTGACAGGTGCGAAACAGGTGGCTATATAGCTCGTACTGGACACCTGTCTTCTACGCCTTGCAGGGGTACCGACCTGGCCCTGAAACAGGGGCATATCATGCGACCCAATAACCCCCAGTCTTACTGTGGCGAATAATTGAAGCGGGTTTCAAAAGTGCCCTTGAGTCTAGATACTTCCTCTTTCACCGCCAAATCGTCACTACTCTCCGCCCAACACAAGAGTAAAACTTCAATATCGTATAAGTGGAAGAATTCCTATGTTTCCCTTTGTCCATCGTTTGACTCTAGAGAACTTGGTATTCAGAGTCATCCTTCTTATCCTGGGCTTCGTAATTGACAGTGGAAGGTTCTGGTGGTATGTTGATCGTAGGGCTCTTCGTCAGCGGAGATCTGGTGTTGTCGTCCATGTTCGGATAACCAGTGTGAGTAGAGATACTAGCCAAGCTAATGGGGGTACTATGTAAGACAGAGCTGCTGTTGGCTCATTTATCATCTAGATTTTCTGCACCGTGCGCCTTCCTTTCAAAAAGATGCCTTGCACGGGACAAGGCTGTGCCATTGCCATATGGACGTATAGTGTGTGCCATACCAGCCGACATCAGCATCAGCCTCGTGCTATGGATGCTTTCCGAGAGGTGAAGGGCGGCCGCGTTACACGTTTAAACCCTGTCTTCGTGAAGGTTCGACGATGTTTTATGGCGGCTAGTGCTGTCTCGCTAAATGTCCTACGAAAACTACACGCATAAATAAGTTCTAAATAATAATTAGCTGGGTTCTAAGGCCTAGTAATATATAGATAGTAATTCACTATATAGCTTAGCCTTAGGAAAACTCCCTTTATATAAAATAGAAGATTTAGAGTTTAAGTATAAAAAAATATTAAAAAAATAAGACGTAGATAAGTAGAAAAAGTCTAAAAAACCTCTTTTTATAACGAGAGAAATAAGAATAAGAAGTAAAAAATAGATGGAAATATCGTTTATTTAAGACTCTTCTAATATAATAATCTCGATTATTCTATTATAAGTATATATTATACTCTTATTAATTCTTAGTTAAACTATAATAACTAATATTATCTTATTAAATATCTTATAAAAATTATATATATAAATAAGTTTTAAATAATAATTAGTTAAATTTTAAGATTTAGTAATAGATAGATAGTAATTTACTATATAGTTTAATTCTAGAAAAACTCTTAAAATAAATAATTTATATCTAATAGAAATTTATTAGCTTTAAGCTATATAAGAATATTAAAGATAATATAATATAATAAGAATATAGATTAAATATATTTTAATATATAAGCGATATAAATTAGACTTTTAATAATTAAGTAGTTAAATCTTATTATTAATTAGATTAATATCTCTCGCGAAGATAGTAACTTCTTTATAAAAAGAGTATTTTAAATAGTAATTTAAGTAATTAAGTATATATAAAGTGCTATATAGTATAGCGATAATATATTATCTTATAAAGGCCTTATTTAAATTAAATAGTAATAATAACTTATTAATAGAGAAGCGAGTAAATAAATTTTATAGCGAATAAATAAAGTAGATATTATTATTTATAGCGGTAATAAATAGCGTAATCTTTTTTTTAAATAGATTCGTCTTTAAGAATAATAGTAATAGTTTTATATAATAGCTATATAGCGTAATTAAACGTTATATAATATATTATTATTCGAAATCGCTATTTTTAAATTTAATTTAAGACTATATAAATTCGCTTATATAAAGAAATATAGTAAATATAAGATAAAAGAAAGTATATAAGATAGCTCTTTTAAGGAAAGTTTTATCGAATTAGATAAGAATATAGAGTAATAAGTCTCGCGTAATTAAATGATATTCTTTAATATCAATCTCACTATATAATTTATAAATATTAATAATTACTTATTATAATAGTAGATAATAAAAGATCTTAAGATTCTTAAATTTTATATTTATATAGACTAATTAAATATCTATAAGATAAGTCTTAATAAATTTAATCTAAATATAATAATTAATTAGATATACTATCTAGTTAATAAATAACTAAATAATAATAAGAAATATAATAATTTTTAATAGAATATAAAACTCGATATAAAAGGCCTTCGCCGTTTAATAGCTACTTCTTATCTTATTAATTAAATTCTATTAGAGATATCTCGTAATATTATAGTTTAGAGAAGTCTTCTTATATTATAATTTAGATAGATCGCGATTTAATAATTTTTATATAGATTAAGAGCGCTTAGCTATAGATATAAATTAGTAATTTTATTAAATTTAAAGTAAGAAAGTAAATCGATTAAAGTATTTTATTTAATAGAGATTTAAATTATATTATAAATGATATTATATTAAGCGAATAATATAATTATTTATCTAAATAATACTATAATTAATTTATATATAGAATTATTATAAATATTCTTAATAATAGCGTTATTATTATAGTAAAATATAAAATATAATTAATATAAGCGAGATAGTTATCTATAGATAATTATAAGAATAATAAGTATTTCTTTAAATTAAATATTTTTCTTATAATAGTAAATAGCGAAGTATATACTAAATGTATCGTTTAATTTAGAATAAGTAGCGATATTCTCGAGAATATACTCTTTTATTTTATACTTATTAGAAGTATTTATTTATATAAAATAGTAATAATATATAGTTATACGACGAAGTAATTATATCTTATTCTATTTAAATAGAAAAATATTCTATTAGCGTAAATTCGCTGCGATTATAATAATAATATAATAATATTCTTATTTTTTAAATAATATAAAGTAGAGTCTTTTTAGAAAGACTTTATTAGAGATTATTATTTTAACGAAGAAGAATAGTAGATCTATTGTTAACTTAAGCTTATTATAAAAGATATTTTATTTATTTAGAAGGACTTTTATTAACTTTCTTACTCTTTTTAACTTATTAAAAGAAAGTCTAATCTTTATCTTCTCGCTATCGAATTAAATTTCTAAAAATTTAATAAAAATATCTTTCTCGTTCTTAATATAATTTATTTTTAAATTATAATTATTATAGATAATATTAAAGTCCTCGCTAAATTAAGCTATATTATTATTAGATAAAAAAATAGCGAAGAAGTTATTTAGATAATAAAATACGATACTCTAAAAGAGAATAATAATAAGTATTTAATAAAGGGTCTTAGCGAATAGATTGAAAATAAAGAATATAATATATAAGTCGAATAATAAGAATCTATTAATATAATAGAAGCTATCTTAAAAGAAACTTAGTAGCTAAAAGTTCGATTCGGCTATAGAGATATATCTAAATACGTTAATAAAATCTCGCTTAATTATAATTATACTCTCGCTCTAAATAAATAAAATATCGATAATATTATTTAATATAATATACTCGAGTATTTTATAAATTTTATAAATATAATAATTAACGAATTATAAACGTAGAAAGAAAAGATTATAAATTCTTCTTTAGTTATTATTATACTTTAAAATAAAGCTTAATAAAGACGAAATAAAGTATTTTGAGAATTTTATATCTAATTATATTAGATAATTATTATTCTTCTACTTTTAAAGATTTTTAAATAGTATTTTAAGTATTATAGTAGTATTAAGATAAAATTTATTTAATAATAACTAATTAAGATCTTAATAGTTTATTTTAATATCGCGGGCAATAATTATAAGTAAGATATTAATAAATATCTAGTCGAGATAATTTTTAAGTTATTTCTTTTAGTTATCTTTTTTTAATAAGCTATATCTTTTTAATAGAGGCTTATTTAGCGAGATAAATATATATAGAAATAACTCGATTATCGATTTAAGGTTTCTTAATATTAATTATAATTAAGAGATAAGAGAGAGCCTTATATTTAGCGAGATAATATTAGCGAAGATTTCGTTAATATAATTAATAAAAGAATATAATTAGTTATATATATTATATATATATAGATAATAAGAACTCTAAGAATTATATAGTTTATTATAATTAAATTAATTATAATAGAATAATTAAGAGTTTTAAGTATTTTAATAAAAAGATATAAAAGTAGTATTATAATATATCTAGAGTAAAGTCTAATTTAGATATAAATTATATAATAGATAAACTTTTAATTAAATCGATAGAGATTGCTATCTTAGAATTCGATTTTCTAAGTAATTATTAAATATTCGTTATATATAAATATTATCTTAATAAAAATAAATTCTATTATAAATAAAGATTTTATAAAAATAATATATTAATTAAAAGATATAGATAATTAATAGATTAGAAATATAGTAGTAATAATTTAATAGAGCTTTTTAAAGAAATAAAATAATTATTTTATAAATAAAGAAATATATAATTTAATTATAAATCTCGAAATATCGAAGTAATTTCTTAAGTTTCTTAATCTCTTTATTATCGCTAGCGAGACGATTAATAAAGCTATTAAATAGTTTATTAAAATATTTAATATTAAATATTTTATAATAGATTTATTTAATATATTTTAAATTTATCGTTTTAAAATAAAGAAGAAGAGAAGCTATTATAAGATTATTATCTTAATATAAAAAGAAGTAATATAGTATTACTTTCGTCTTAGATAATATTAATATTCTCTACTATAATAAAACTAAAGTTAATTATAAGATTTAAAGAGATATAGATAATAACTAAGAAGATAAAGTAAATAGAAATAATTAATAAATTAATAATATAGAGATTTAGAGTATAAATTAATATATAATAAAGGTAATTAATTAATAATAGATATAAATCTTATTAATCTTATTCTATATATAAGCGAGTTCGTTATAATTTTAAAATATATTATTTTTATCGATTTATACCCGTTTAAGTTTTTAATAGATTAATTACAATTAAATAGTATAGAGATTATAAATTAAATCTAATAAGGTGGGTGGTTTTATTAAAGAATCTAGCTAGTAAATAGAAGATATAGCGAGAGTAAATAAGAGAAGAAGCTTATTAGAGGATTCTTTTATAAATAATTCTTATAAAGGTGGTGGTCTAGTAACGATAGTCTAATATATAGCTATAACCTTTGCGGTAGACTTATGAGGATATTTAGGGGCCATTGGTAATAGCTGAATAACAACGGGTAAGAATAATATATTTTCCAAATGAAAATTGCTTTCGTCTAATATTAGGAAAGAAAAAGTGTAAAAACCTCTTCTTGCGACGAGAGGAACAAGAATGAGGAGCAAAAAATAGGTGGGAACACCGCCTATTCAAGGCTCTTCCAACATGGCAATCTCGGCTATCCTGCCATAAGTGTATGCTGTGCCCTCACTAGCCCCCAGTTAAGCTGTGGCGAAAAGTGTTTCATGGCGGAAAGGCACTCAGCCTCCACCTTCTGATAGTAAAAATCGTGCAACGAGCGGAATGGTATGCCTACAAAGGCGTCTTTGGAGTTCTGCCGTAACTGAGCACATAATCTGTGTCTTCGGATTTGGGGAATGTGCTGACAATACATATCTAGTGGATCTACAATTGCCAATCACACGATCACGCGGGGCACCGTTAAGAGCTTCCCTGCATCTCAATCTGCACGATTCATTGGACCGAATCGTACGAAAACGCCTAATTTTATTGGTTCTGATAAGAAAGATCACTAGTAAAGCAGACCCTCAAGACACAGCAGACATGAGAGGCTGCGAGGTATTCTTGGCGGTACTCTATAATAAGGCTACGTCTACGGTCCTATAGCCTTGCGGGCCGTTACTATTAATCGCTGTCGCTGGCGAGACTGAGGAAACGAAGCTAAGCTGAATGGAGATGGCGGGCTGCATGACGTCTGACCGGTGCTTGATTCCAAGGAGCACAGATTATGTCGTTCATGTTCGGCCGGGCGTTACAGGGCTTGGAACAATCGACGATGTTATGGCCGTGTCATCTTTCGATTAGTTAGCTCACGAAATCGATGAATATATATAACGTTGAAGAACCCAGGAGAGAATTATTGAACTACCCTTCAGTCATCTTATATATAAAAAATGACATCTGATGCTGAGGCAAGCCAATTGGAGAAAGGCTTACCAGTCTCTTCATCTTTCTCAGATTCCACTTTCAAGGAAAGCCCCAACGAGAACACAGAAACAAATACTACGCTTGCGGAAAGAACTGGTTCTGATACTCGCTGTAGATATTAGCAGCCAAACTTTTGGGGAGAGATACTAAATCGCACTAGTCAAGTCTAAGATCTTGACCGCGATTCAGCTCGTCGCATCAGGCCAACTGCCATGGAAAGACCCCGCTTGCCAAAGCATGTCGAAGCCCAAAGTCCGAAAACGTGAGTCGCCAGAAATACCCAAATTCGCCTCAATTGACCATTCCTAGTGCAAGATTACCCAAGGGGTTTCCCGAAAATCTCCTGCTTCCTCGACAGCGACGATGCCTTCATGGTATACCGGCGCTTCGGCTCGGTATATTCCCGCCTCTTGCTGTCTAAACAGGACGAGATGAGCAGGATGGAAGCTACACTTCTCGCCATGGACCAAACAGATCACGCTGATGGCAATGAAAGCTATCTTATGTCGAGACCTTTCGATGTTGAGAGAGAAGAGATTCCTGAGGTGTGGAAGGGGCAATCGAGGGTAAAGCTGTTGGAGAGGATGGAGAAGGTCGCGCTTGAGTATGGTCAGTACCTGCGTCGTCGGGACTATGAAGGGGCTTCTGGGTGACTGTGACGTAGCGGAATTACTGCTCAAAGCTCAAAAGCTCAAGGCAATGGATAGGCCGTCGAATCGAGACTATCGGAGCGTCTTACACTTCATGGAGAATGATGGAGGTCAGCTTTTTGAAGAGGATATGGGATTTATATATGAGAAAGAAGATCTAATTACTTTGAGACCGGGCAGGGAGTATGCTTGGCTCGATGGACTGCTTGAGCGGACGTTGAAGGTGCTGCGGTGTAGGCTTATCAAGGTAAGTCTAAGTCTCAGAGATCTTATGTCGATGAAGTGTTGACAATCCTTGACAGTTTTTCTTCTGCCCTAAAGTCAGTACTATTTCCAAATCTACTCTCCTATGCCCGCATTTCGCTGTCTAACAGTCCCTCGAAAGGAGACAAGAGACAAGACCGACGACAAAGATATCCACTACTACGACCGCGATAGAATCTCGACTTGCGTGACGATGATGATCACCACCATAGTCTTGGCTCTCCTCGTGGTGCCGATTTGGCTCCTCTACAGATTCTCCATTCAGGGAACAATTGCCACAAGTCCGGATACTATCGGCGTAGTCCTTGTCTTTACCCTTGTGTTCTCTGCTGCCCTCACGGGCTTCACGAAGGCGAGACGGCATGAGATCGTGGCCGCATCCGCAGGGTGAGTACCCCCGCCCCGATCGCTGCCAGGGCATAATTGTAGCTGCGAGGCATGCGTGTTTTTCTGTCCCGCAATCGACTAAACTGTGGTGCGGCAGTTATTGCGCCGTGTTGGTCGTATTCTTGGGCAACGTGAACAACGTGGGTAGTGTGCCTCGCTAGGGCGACGTCTGCGTTACAACCTTTACGATTATTTCGAAAAGGGGCAACCCTTGGAAATTGATAGCACCTATCTTGGGAAAAGTTTTGGGCATACATGCCAAGAAAAATGGACACGAAAAGATCATGAAACAACGCACAGGAAGCAGATGCATGGAACGTCAGGACTGACCGAATCATATCAGAAAGATACTAGTGATGAAACCGATTGCGCACAGGAAACTTGGAAATTATACATTGGACTGAGAATACTCGAAGTGAGCGAGTGATGATGTGGAATGGTATCTTGATACAGCTAGAAAATAAACGATCTATTCTTGCACATGGTCTGACTATGGTCGCGCGGCACAGTGTTTGTGCAACCCTGTCGTGCTACTGCTACACCATTTACGCAACGATGGAACATTGATGAGGCATGAATGCTGAAACGAAGATTTTGGTTGCACCTATGCCTACTTAGTTGCATAAGGAGGCTCCGACGAAAATAGCATACTCTGTAAAGTATACTACTGTGGGGTATTCGTATCCGTAATCTTGGGGGGGTGTCATTCTCAGCATGTAAAATTTTTCAAGATGGGATAAAGAAGCTCAAACTTTGGGGTTGCTGCTTTCCTTTGTGGAATTACACCATCAGCGGAGTCTATGCCCGGAAAAGCTTGTGTTTTTATTACATGATTGGGCTCTTCTGATTGGAGTCCTACGCGAACTACGCTACTCGAGCCAGGACACCATCAGCTGACTGTCGCATCGTGAGATGTAGTAATGATTGTAAGACGCAAGATCGTATGCATGAAAAGCCTCCGAATGCGAAACATGCATTCGTTTCAACCGCGCATAAAGAGTCATCATCAAGACTCGAGAATGAGGAGTCAACGATCCGCCTCGGGACAAGTCTTGGCGTAGCGCACAACTCCGCCTCTTCAGCTTTCACTCTTCATTCTCTAGTTCACCATCGCCTACTTGCCTTCTTATCCTGCTGAACCATGGGCTGAATGAGCGCACAGCAAACACGTTTCCCCGTATAGCCCCTTTTCCATCCTTCGTTTCATCGACTGCGGCGCGTGGCTGGGCATCTGAATGGTCAACAGCCGCTCAGTTCTCGACTAGAAAATCTGCCTACACCAAGACGCTTCTTCCTTCCCTGACTAGGCTGCAGGAAGACCCTGATTGAGTCAATGGGTCAAATCAGAAGCCTCAATGAATTCCTGCGAACACTGTGCCTTGCAGGGGCGGAGGCGCCGATAAGCGTTCAACGAACCCCTTCTGCAAGTACCCAACCACATCCAATACTCGAATTATATCGGACACAGCCGACCGTCGAAATGACTCTTAAGCCCCTGTTTCTCGATCATTTTCCAAGTGACTCTTGTCCTTTATTTTCGCCGGTCAGTCTTAGTAGATTGCTGCCTCGCGCTTAACCGCTTTGGGACGGGTGCCTTGCTCTGATGTTACAAGGGCCGTAGTGGTGCTTTCACCATGCCAATTAGGCAGCATGTGATCCGATGCGGCTCCGCTGACGACTCCTGAAGATTGCTCATACTGCCCCGGCTATGAGGCGTGCTGGTATAAGAAACCAATTTTCTTCAGTAGAATTTCTCTTCTCAATTTGTACCTGCATCAGTCGATTGAGTGTGCAACTTCTCCATACGACTCAAAATATAAACCAATTGCATTTAATCCTTTTACGAAGCCATCCTCTTGGGCCTTCTCACGTGCTGTTTCCTCTCTACGCTCGTCTTAATAACCCCAGAGACCAAATACTGCCACTACTCTTCAAATCTAGCACTTCACATCCATTGCGTATCTTCAGACACTTCAATTGGACCCAATCGCAGCGACACCTCCTTGTCTGTCCGTCACCGCCGAAGTATCCTAGCCAAACGACCCAACAACGATCCACTCTGCTCAGCATCATACCCAAGACATACAAGACCTAGCTTTTATCAGCGACATCGACGATGTCTCGCTCAAACCAATCAAGCCGCTCGACCTCATCTTACTCTTCAGGCAAAATTCCTCTGTCATGCCAGTCTGGTGTGTATCTCCTACTCGATGTCGCAGCACTGTCCCTAATCAGTTTCCACAGATTCTAAACAACGCGCCCCCTATGACTCCGTAAGATACGACGACAGGTACCTCGAGCCAAGGTACGCCACAACCTTGAGTGAACCGCGCTCCGCATCCTCGGGCAAGTCGTCAAGCAGTCAATCTGGCCGGTCTTCGAATTCGGACAAGGTACCTCTTTCGATCAGCCATGGCTCCTCTTCGCGAGATGATGGGAGGTCTAAGACAACAGACGAGCGTTACTATCCTCAGAGCTTCCTCGACCACGGTCAGCCCCAGAAGAAGTCTCTGTCATGCCAGACAAAGGATAAGGATCAGAGGTATTACACGAATTCATCTTATTACCGATAGCACGGGTAAGAATATGGTGTCTGAGTCTGGCTGTTGGCATTTTATCCTTTCATGATCGTGGCTCGCGCTTGAAGCTCTAGCCCGTGACAGCAGGCGTTGGTGGATCATTACATTACACTTCTCCGGCTCACGCCCATCATTGTTTTCTTTACGATACAAGTACAGCGAGCGATTTGCGTCATGGCTTCCTGGCATAGATTAAGGACATCAGTAGCAAGCCTCTTTCTGCGAGTTGACGGACGGCATAGCGGTGGTAGCGCAGCATATTTTCCATTAGAATCCATCAAACTACACCATTTTCCAGGAACGAAGCGATTGTAGCTTAGGGTTAGGGTTCACTCCGACTAAGAAACCGATCTTCTGTGTACGAGTATTCGGAGGCAACTCGCACCGAGTTGCCGGTTCTGCGAGCTCGCTACGAACCTTATCGAGCGCGTCACGTGGAGATAGTACACGTAGTTAATCGTAGTCCGACTATTCGCTCCGCTCATAGTAATCCTCAACTCAAAGACGCACTAGTCTTAAAGACGCGTTTTTTCGCGATTTAATACCTTATATTATAATCTATTATTATATTATTATACTATATCTATATCTTATTCTAAATAAAAAAAACTTATTTAAAAGACTATTAATAAGTATAAGAATAATTATTTTTATAGCGCTATAGTAATTATAGAGTATTATAATCTTAAATCGCGATAGATATAAAGATAACTTCGAGAATAAGCTTCTAGAAGTATTTAAATATTTACTTATATATATCTTATTATAATTTAAAAATAGTCGCTATATAACTATATTAATCGTCTAAATAATATTAAATATTTATTTTAATTAAATTATATTTAGAGTATTACTAAGTATATTCTAAAAATTATTTTAAATTTATATTATTTTTCTAACTTACTTAATAAAGATTAGATTATATAATTTATAAAATAATATTTTAAATACTATAAACGAAAGCAAAAACCTCTTAATGTCGAGTGTAAGAATACGTACGATATTAAGAGTATACGCGTAACGTATAAGAAATTTCGACGGGGCTATAAAGAGAAGAATATATAATATTAAGATATTTAAAATATAAATAAAACTAGCTTTCGAATTAGTTATAGAATTATTTATTATATTATTATTTTAAATAAAAGTAAGCCTCTATAATTCGTAGATTTAGATAATTATAATTATATTATATTCGTAAAATATATTAACGTTAAAGATTAAAGTATACCTTTATTCGTAATTCTAAAAGATACTTATATTCTATATAAATAGGATAAAAACGACTTATCTCCAGATACTATATTAGTTATTTTATCTATTAAATATTTAAATAATCAACTAATATACGACTAGCTACTATATTTTAATATATTTTCTTATTATTATTAAATAAAAGAATAAAAAATCTTAATTCTAAACGACTTCGAATTTTACTATATCTATAAATTTTATATATTTACTTAATAATTAAAGATCGACTTATTTATATTTTTTTTATATTCTATATATATTATATAGCTATTAGATATAGAATACTTTTAACTATTTAAATATTATTATATAAAGACTATAGATTTAACTATATATCTTAGAAGTAGCGACTTTAATAAACTCGACTTTCTCGTAGTATTTAATTAAATAAGAACTTAAATCTTTACGTCTAATATTATATATTCGATCTTTCGAAAGACTAGTTTTATACTCTATAATTCTAAAATAATACTCGAAAAAATTAGAAATCTAGCACTCCGCGCTATAACTCTAGATAAATCTATATCTCTTATACTTATTAGAACTCTCTATAAAGTCGAAGATGTTATTAAATATAATTAATAGTTTAAAGTATTACTTACTACTTAGACTTTTATTATTCTAAAAAATATATAATAATTATTAGCTTAATTTATAAAAGAATCTATTACTAATAACTACTTAAGATAAATTATTAAGTAAGATATTAAGGTTATTTATAAAGAGGTTATAGTTAAATAAGTATATAAGATACTTTCTAAGACGATTATTTAGAAGAGAGAATAGATATCAATAGATTAAATACGTAAATCTCTAATTATAATAGAAGAAACAGCTATAGAAAAGACGGAGAAGGCTTTAAAATAAATTATTCGAGCTAAGAAAATTTAATAAGAAAAGGTCAATAAAGCTATTAAGGCTTATATTCGAAAGCTAAATTATAATCTATAAAAGCTAGTGTATATATATTAGAATGTGTTTATTAGAATTTGAGTTATAGAACGAGATCTATATAGAATTAGAAAGGAATAATAGATTTTCGCGTCTTTGAGACTAGTGCGTCTTTGAGTTGAGGACTACTATGAGCGGAGCGAATAGTCGGACTACGATTATAGAGTAGCTGCTGCCCATCAATGAAAAGACAGTCAATCCTGCTGGATTCACTATTCATCTTCCGAATGTCTGCTCACCCTATCTAATCTCCGCGTTCATGGGCGATCGTCGTTTCTGCTTCCTTATGAACTATATATTACGAGTATAGGTCTAACTAATCTTCCATGTTGTAACCGTGTTTGAAGTACAATGATCTTTTCGAGTTGAACTCCTTT